CCATTGAAATGCTCCTACAATGACTTGTGTAAAGTCACAAAGGTATAAGTACCTGATTCGAGACCAACTAAAAATTTCTTATTCAAAATCCAGTACTGTTGAAAGAATACTAACCACAGCTGCCCAAGGAACCATAAGGTGTATAAGTTAGGGCAGCTGGTACAGGTATGAATGCTTGAGGAGTTCTAAGAGACAAATGTCCTAAATGAAAATGTCCTAAAGTGTCAAAGAAAACTAGTAAAAGGATTAATTACAAAGAAATAGGAAAAACATGTAATAAGTAGGAAAAACTTATTGGTTTTTCCAATACTTATACCCAGTATGTAAGTGCCACACAAGGGAGTAATAAAAATGAAGGTCAAGTATGTTACATGGTGTCAGTAACAGAGGGCTTGAATGACAAAATTAAGAACATGCATTTGATACTTTAGGCCATAAGAAGCCAAGAAAAGTTATTAAAAAGCCAAGTAATGTAATAAAAGCAGTCCTTAAGAAAGATTAATCTGGCAGTAGTGATAAAATGAAGTCAGTCAAAGGGCAGTTGGGAGACAACGGAGATGGGGCAAAAGGATACTTACCACACAGGAAAAGCAGTGAAGTGTCAGTGACAACAGCAAAGGACAATGGGTTCAGAATAAGATTTCAGAGGGAAAATGATAAAGACTTGACTGGGTAGAAAAGCCAAAATACAAGAGAATCTCAGGAACATTCTACATACCTGGATTCCTGGATAATTAGGTTACACTCTATTGAGCATCCCCCGCCAAATTTTTTTAATCAACTTTGGATAAAAAGTACTGTAAAATATATCACAATTTTTTATAAAATTCTGCTTTAACTATAAAGCAGACTAGAAAAGTAAGGCTGATTGATGTTTGTATCATTCGCTGCAGAAATAATTTGGTGTAATGCAAAGACATTTGGTGTTGAAAGATTTCACTCTTAATTCGGCAATGGGCTCTGTTCCAGTTACCTCTCCAGGACCTGTATCTTTATCTGTAAAATCAGGATAAGAGTATCTGCCTCACCTAACTTAATTAGGTTGCTGTGAATATTAAAAAGTACAAGAGAAAGTGCTCTGTAAATAGAAAACCAACACGCAAATGTAAGATGTCTTACTAATAGAAGTATTAGAAGTACCAAAAGAAAAAATGTAACGGGATAAAAATAATTTAGCATTATTTTGATGCCTCAGAATCATCATTATGAATGTTAAATTAAGTACTGCACTGCTTTTGATATATGATGGCCTCGAGATATCTAGGTGGTTAGACGTTCTAGACTGTTGGGCATTTTCAGTTCTTACGTGGTTTTTAATAGTCTCCCTGTCAACTTCAGTACTCTCACTGTAGCTCCTTTCTCCACTTCTAAATTGTCTACTTCTAATCTGCAGCGACTTACAAACTAGATACCAGATAATGAGTTTATCATTATACACGTGACAGCCTCAGGAACTCTCATATGAGAAGGTGCACATGTGGGGACCAGAGCAGGTGAGGGCTACTTCTCTTTATTCTTATTCTTGGATGAGTTCCAGAAAAGTAAAGTGTGAATGTAACTCACTACCACAGAGTAACTCAACCTCTAAAGGCTTACTGAAATGAAACTAAGTATACGGATAAAATTTTTATATATTCTTTTACTTTCTGCAAATATTTATCATCAATTTCTCCCTCCAGTTAGCATTAACATCTAAGTACTTTTTAAGAGAACAAATTAACCTTTAAGAACAGTTTCGGCAACAACAATACTAGTAATAACCAGTTCTCATCTTAAGCCTGGTTATTTTTTTGTAATACAAATGTAAAGAGTTATTTAATCTATTATGATTTAAACTGACATTCCAGGATAATGTAAAGAAATGATGGTCCAAAACCTGCTAAAGTTATACAGCATCGCAGAGCAAATAAAATGGCCCCCTAAAGTACAACTTCTATTGTATTAGAGATCGCTATTAGATTAGTAAAACACTAGTGTCTAGGGCTTGTTAAATGGAATAAACTGACTTTATCCAAGTACACAGAAGTTATTCTATCACCGTAAAATTCAACTTGTAAACATAAAAAAACCCCAAATTCAATATTTATTCAAAACAAAAAGGCCAAGATTCATCAAAGCTGATAAGGTGTTGCTATATTCATATACTGCACTGCAAGACACCAAAACACCCTCTCCTCTGGTCTTTACTAAGTTTAGATTTTTAATTCTCCCCAAAACTATTTCCAAGACTAGAGAATCTCCTGCCTTTTTTTATGAAGGGTCAGAAAGATTAATTAGAGAGGGGATACTTACCCTTTCTTTTGAAACTGATTTCCTTTCTCATGAAACATATTTCTACTGCCCTTCCCTGCCCTGCCTACCCACCCAACACCATCCCACCCAGATCTAAGACAGAGCGTCCTGCAGTATGGTTCCTATTCCTGACAAAAGTCTATAACAGATCACACTAGTCTGGCTCCTGTAGCAGAGATGCATAAACAGAAAGCCTTGAATACCTCTAAAGTATTACTGTTATTTGAACCAATGATTTCTTTTTACATAATTAGATAAAATCCTTGTGAATTTTCACTAGTCTATTTTCAGCACATGCCTTTGGCTCATTCTAAAACATTCTTCAAAAAGGTTTAGGTTGATTCCTTTAAAATTCTTTCCTCCTAGGTCAAGGTTTCTAAAGTGACCTCTGATGCAACGGGCTCAAGGATCTGAGCTATAAGTACGTCTAAACCCTTTAATTTACTAACTCCCAATCAGAGAGATAATGGAAACAGATCAGAAGAAGAAAAAAAGCCCAACATTTCTGTCAGTCTGGTTTCTGGGAGAGGAAAGTAAGACCTAGTTTGCTCTCATTGAGCACCCAACAGGTATTAATTGATACAGAAAGGTTTTCTCTTTCATAGAAATTAGAAGATAAAGCAGATCAATTTCACTCTCCTATTGGGCATTTAAGCAGCCTAAGCACTTGCTTAACCTAAAGAAAACCATCAAAACCCCATTGAAAAAAGGCACAGAAGTGAGAAACAGAGGAGCTAGCCACCTCATCCCTCATCCATACTAACAGCAATAATAACGAGAATGCCATCTTTCTTCCAGTGCCCCAAAGAAACACTGTTAGATTCTTTACACACATAATGTAAAGAATTTACCAGATTTCAACAAGCCTGCCAAAAAGGCATTGTTAGCCACCCACATAGCATAGATGAAAAAAGAGACTCAGAAAAGTTCAGTAGCTTTCCCAAGGTCAGACAGCTAGTCAGGGCTAAAACAGGACTTTGACAAGTCCACTACGCTTTCTTCTCTGTCACTTCCCTTGGTTTGTCAGCTAAAACAGTGAAGTCAGCAAACATCAGACCTTACTTTCCTTCTGCAAGCTTCTGATACCATCCTGACCTGAGACATACGTTCTGGAAATACAATTAGCTCATATATTAATCACCTTTTCTAGTGGCCACATCCTTTGTGTCTTATACTATTACACGCTAATATGTTTCAGAATTATTATTATTGGATTTATTTCTCTCTACATTTCAGATTTCTTTCTCCTTTCATACTCATTTAACTAGGCAAAATCTACTAGGTTCATCAGACTGCTTGACTTTGTAAATGGCATATTCATTTACATAGTTCTCAGAAAATAAGCTTTCTTCAGACTTAAAATTACCAGGAATTTTTATATTTTAGTAATAAATTCCCTATTTAATATAAAAACAAATCCTTTAAAGGCCTGATCCAAATACAAACATGTAAAATATCTTTTCTTTTTTTTTTTGCTAAGGGGTGATCTGTGCTTGTATTGTTGATCAATAAATCCAGTTATTAGAACTTTTAAAACAAAACACCCATAAATTAGTATAACGTACCTTTAAAATGCCAAAAATCAGTATCCTCATACAGAAGTATAGTTCCTCATACAGAAACAAACTTTAAAATAATTTAAAGTTATCTGATTCCATGTATATATGTCTGAATCATTCTTATATGATAGGTAAATGTATTTGTAGTTAAAACTATATTGCTTTAAATTATATCCTTGCTTTATGTTTCTAAGTTTTATAAATCACCTGTATCAACCTTTGAGAGGTTTACGCTGGTAAAGGAGATTTGTACCTGAGCAATCTACTTGCAATAAAAACCATGGATGTCACTGTTTTTTGATCATATCTTCCTTTCTTTTTTCTTTGACGAGGTCCACAAATACCATTTATCTTTCGGTGATTTAAAAAATCTTAAACCAATCACACTAACTAAACCATTTCAATGTTTGAAAATGGTCTAACATTTACTCCAATCTTCACTCACAATAACAATAATAAATACTCAAGTCAAATCCTTTTACACCAAATGCAAAATAGGTCTATGACGCATGTCCAAGTCTTTGACTTTATCCATACGCCTTTCCCTTTTCTCTTTAGCTTATAAGGTAGATTCAGAGGTAAGCAAACTCTTCTGTCCAGGGCTGGCTAGTAAATATTCTAGGCTATGCATCTGGCTCTCTAATTCTAAACCCAAAAGTCTTCTCTTCCATGAGAATACTTTGGTGGTATTATGTTGCACTATAAATATTTATCAATTACATCATCTATAAATAACAACTGATTTTTTTTTAATGATTTCAGAGTAGAATTCCTTTAAACTGTCAAAGTTCTAGCTGGAAAGCATGCCAAAGACAAAGAGGTTTCAGGCTCAATTACAGTAGTGGAACAGAATTTAATAAAGTTCCAACACTACATTTTAATGCCCAAAATTCTTATTGTCTCTTTTAGTTGACAAATATGTGCTCCACAATGTAACAGCAGCCGCAGACCAGCTGGATGGCTGTATCAAGCACCAAGGAAGCACCAGCACATGCTGTTAAGTGTCGTTCTGATTGCCTAGAAATGGCAGCCCATGCAGATTTATTCCCTGTTATAAATTAGAACAATTATTTCTCTGAAGTTTACATTTTCTTCATAAAAGAGTCAAACTTTCTGCACGTTAAAAAAGAGGACTTTCAAAAAGGATATCTTCCCTTTCTTTGATGATCAGTTCATTCTGTTCTTCCAACTGCCTGATCTTCCTCTCAAATGATTCCTGCTCAGCTTTGAGTCTTTCTTCTGTCACTTCCTTTTCCTCACTTACTCTGAAAGAAATACATAAATGAAAAGAAAATGCCTATGAGAATAAAATAAAATATGTGTCTACAGTTGTGGTTTACCAAAACTAGATTTCTTCCAGGGGCATGCTGCTTTTTTCAGGGATACCTTATGTTTTCAAAATGTTTTAAATTAACTTTTCATAAGGCAGTATTCCATACCTTTGTAATAAAATATGTATGTGATTTTTACATCAAGAATGTTTCCAATATTCAGAATTATCCTAAAACATGAAAAGTCCTACACTTTATAGGCTCCCAATTATGATCCAGGACAGAAAAATAACCGATTTTTAAAACAAAGGTTTTATTTCTTTATTATTAAAATAGGCACAATATATTTCGACTTAGGTCTTTTTCATACTTCTATTTAAATCCTGTCAAAACATAAACAACATATATATGTCTTAAATATTTCAGTAAACATACATGGGCAATTTTACTTTTTCCTGGTACGAATACCCTGCACTCCTCAGTAGCATTTAAATACTGAACTGGAACTGTAAAATGGAATTAATATAAAAAGCATCTGCACATTTATTCTTAGTTCAAAAAGAATTATAAAGCTAAAAACAATGACCAAAAATATGCATCGTTAATGCTTAACTCTGAAAAGTACTCCAACTCAAACCAATCAAAAAGGGGTGGTTTCTGACAAGAGCACGGAGGTGAAAAATTAAAAAAAAAAAAAACCTACACAACAAAATTAAAACTTACCTTAAAATGACAATCCTAGTTTTCACGTTACTTTGTGAACAAAGATGCTAGCCTTGCATTTCTGTTACTGGTGCTTAATTCTCCAAGGAGAGTACAGCACATTTGTTCTATAAGATCACACAGGGTGAGTGAAATCCACAGGAAATCCAAGCCTTTTCTTTGGGCTCCTAAGTTTACTTCCTTCCACACCCATGCTCTACCAGAGCAATTTCTGAATAACATGAACTCCACAGCCTTTCCTTTGTTGCTAGCCTTCTAGTGGAGAAATTAAAGTCAAGGAGATAACAGAATGAAAATTCGAATTATGAATGTTCAAGACTTGACTGCATCTTGGTCTTTGAAATACTTTGTGTGAAAGTGCATGGTATACAGTAGTTTCAAAAAAAAAGGTTCACTTTTTGCTTATCATGACATCCAAATCATTTCCTCAACTCTTATTATTTGTTTAGTATGCCACAAGACTCATGACTGGGACTCAGGCGCATCTTTCTAAGAGGATAATCTCCAACACTGATACAATTACAAGGAGTCCACACAACGTAACAAAGAACAAATACACACATATGTAGAGGATTCACACTGTGCTCTCAGGTTATCCTGCCTCCCTTGTTACCATCTCTTTACAATGCCTTCCCTTCTCTTGTCAGAACTTTCAGGCACACTTGCACTAACATCTTTCACAATAATTCCCCATTGCCTCTAAGATTTTTCTAAACCTGTCACACATTTGAACCATTAATAATTTCTATCATCCAAATCTATCAGCCAGCTTCTATAACACCTTTGCTAAGAAACTGTTCCAGATCAAGTAAACTCCCAACCTGTAAATCAGAAAACCATGTACAAATGGTGACTGTGGCAAAGTGTGCCTATTTCTCTGGGCATCACTACTCCCACTTGTAAACAAAAAAGGCCAGACTAGACAATTTTTAAAATTCTTCCCAGCTTAAGTTCAATAATTTCCACTATATGATATATATACCACTACTGTATCTATGTCCTTTAAAAATATAGAATATTTGTAAAGAAAGAAGTTATCAAGCATTTTCTCAGGGTACAAGGCATACAATACTGCAATCTAGGCAAAAGCTACAGTCATGGGATGAAAGAGGAAGTGGATGACAAGTGGCTGAATCCATAGGATTATGCATAAAATAAAGATGAAAGAGGTGATGTTATATACTGTAGGGAGAGAATAAATCAGTGCTGTCAAGGTGAGAAAATATGTGGCAAAATCTCTCCCTGTTTAGACTGGTAAAATCTTAAAGACAAGACTGAAGAGGAAAATCCGTAAGTGGTAAGAGAACATTTATTTTCATTTACTTATTAAGAAAACATTCACTAAATGCCTACTATAGGAAAAAATAACCACAGTAACTTTATTCTGTTTGGAATATCCAAAGGGAACCTAACAACAATGGCCCCCAGTCATTTCAGTCCCTTTCATAAGAGCCATATAAATATGAGGAATGGCCCAAAGATCTGCTTCTTCAACGAGCAAAGCTTCCAGAGTCTGAAAAACGGTAACAAAAAAAGTACACTGCCACATTTATGTTAACATTAAAGTAAGTGCAGAAAGTATGTCTGGAGCCTGCCAGGTCAGAACATACACCCCAACATTTACTTACTCCCTTTGTGGATCTGAAGATAATTCAGGGAAGCTGTAGGGATCATTGAGGGCAAAAATGCTTGTGCATATATTCCACAATGCAGAGGCTGTGATGAGCTTTTCCCAAAACTTAAAGTGCTCTATCTAGAAAAATCACTCTCTTCTTAATTTAGTTTCTGCAGTATGTTTGAAAATTTTTGTTGCTACACTATTTAAACAGGGCTTTAAAAAAAATCCTTTGTTATGTTGCTGTGATTGGACTAGACTTTAGAATTTATTATGCCCTGCAAGGCTATAAAATTAACAAGCTGTGTTAAGCACAAAGAGTAACACTTCTCTCGGCCTATCTCAAGATATGCATGGCTTCTCTGTGGCCTATTAGCATAGTTAATATGAGCAAGTATATTAATATAGCCTTTAAATGCAGAGGACTTGCCAATAAAACAACCTCAAGATCTGATAGCTACTCAGAAATCTGTCTTCTTATTTATGTTCAATGATATTTCCCACGAGGCACATGTACGAGAAAATATCTGGTATCAAGATCTACATTTTTAATCAAAGCATTCTCAGACCACAAAGTAACAAAAAAAGACCTAATCCTCTATCTCATTTAAAGCATAGCAATAAGCTAATTAACAAAATGAGACTCTAAATACAGGAAATGGAAGTACTGGACTAATAGGACAGAAAAGTTAAAACTCTGGACAAGAGGATATTCCCCCTGGTGGCTTGCTAATTATTTACAAGGAGGACAACAGTCTGTTCTTAACGTAAGAAATCATCAATGTCAGCATTTAACACCTGAGAGTATTTCTGAAAAAGTCCACAAAATGCACTTTTATCTAACAAGAGAATTCATACACTTAGAGCTGGGTGGTTGGGCTGAAACCTGTGCCAAAAGTACTGAATTTCTCTGAAGGCTTATGTTTCAGCTTAAACATTCCCAGTGGTCAACCAGATAAATTTCTTCCCCTGATTAATATCTCACATTTGGGAGCAGGGAATGCTGGTCACATTTTATAAATTCTGAATATTAACTTAGTGGGTAAGATTCGGAGAAGGAAGGAACAGATTTCACAGGACATCTAGCAGACAGGAATGGATATTGTTTTCAAGCAAGTGTAAAGGCATGGTAAAAAAGAAATATTTCATCAGTAAAAAATATATCAGTGAAATCATCTTAATGCTCTCTACAGATTTTAACACTTCACTGTTATTTAAAAGCTACTGTCTAAAGGAAAACAGTGCTTTAAGAAATCATAGGGACATAGCAATCCATGTCAAAAGGGTTTTAAGAACTACAAAACAATAGCAAATGAATGTAGATGCAAAAATCCTCAACAAAATACCAGCAAGCATAATGCAGGAACATTAAAAAAAAAAAAAAAGAAAAAGAAAAAAGGAACATACATATGCCTAATTGGGATTTAGCCCAGGAATGAAAAGTTGTTTTAACACTCAAACATCAATTAACATACTACAACATAAAAATAAAATAAAGAACAAAAATCACATGATCTTCTAAATAAATACAGGAAGGTGTTTGAAAACATCCAACAGTGACTCATGATTCAAAAAAAACTCATTAAATAGGAAGAAAAGTAAACTTCCTCAACCTGAAAAAGGCCATCTACAAAAAACCCGCATCTAATACCACATTTCATGGCAAAAGATTGAATGCTTTCCCACTATGACCACAAAAAAGCCAAGGATGTCTGCTCTCGCCACTTCAACTTTGTACTGGAGATTACAGACACAGGAAAAGATAGATTGCTCAGGAAAAGAAATAAAATGCAAATTGGTGTAGCTTCTATGGAAAACAGTGTGGAAGTTTCTCAAGAAACTAAAAATAAAGCTACCATATGAACCATCAATTCCATGCCTGGGTATATCTGAAAAAAACAAAAACACTAATTCGAAAAGATGCATGCACCTCAACGGTCATCAAAGCACTGTTTACAGTAGCCAACACAGGGACTCAACTTAAACGTCCATCAACGGATGAATGGATAAGGAGGATGTGGTAAATACACCATGGAATACTACTTAACCATAAAAAAGAATAAAAGTTTGCCATTTGCAACAATATGGATGGACTTGGAGGACAGTATGATAAGTGAAATAAGACAGAGAAAGACAAATACTGTATGGTATTACATATATGTAGAATCTAAAAAATAAAACAAGCTAGAGAATATAACAAAAAAGAAACAGACTCCCAGATATAGAGAACAAACTAGTAGTTACCAGTGGGGAGAGCAAAGGGGCAAACTAAGTGTAAGGGATTAAGAGGTACAAACTACTATGTATAAAATAAATATGTTACAAAGATATACTGTGCAACACAGGGAATACAGCCAATATTTCGTAACTATAAATGGAATATAACCATTAAAAATTGTGAATCACTATGTTGAACAGCTGAAACTTATATAATACTGTATATCAACTGTACCTCACTAAAAAAATTGAAAAAAATAAAAAAAATCTTAAAAAATGGAACTGTATACTGTATTCCTATTAAGAAATGACTTTCTTTCCCTTTAAGTAAATTATAAGTGGTTAAAGACTCTAGGTAAAACAAGAAATCTGAGATGAAAGGTGGAATGCATGGTGTACTCTAAAATTAATATAGTAATGAAGATACCAAAAATGGAAA